TGGGGGCGGTGGCGGCCCGGGGGGCGCGCTCACCAGGCGCGCAGTCACGCTGCGGGTGCTGCTCAAAGACGCGCTGCTGGAGCCGGGCTCCGGGGTGCTCTCCATCTACTACCTGGTGAGCGCTCCCCCACCATCCCATCCCATCTCATCCTGGCTGGAGCAAGAAGGGGAAACTGAGGCCAGATCCCAGAAAGGGAAACCGAGCCACGGAGCAGCCAGGCCCAGGGTACACCCTTCTAGGTGGGAGGACATCGGGCACCAAACACCCTTGCCACAAAGGAGAAACTGAGGCTCAGAGAGGCGCAGCCACCTGCACAGGGTCTTCTTGACTGTGTGACATCGCTCAGCTTCTCTGTGTCGTAGTTTTCCCATCTGTAAAATGGGCATTTTTCCCCTACGGGGTTGTGTGAAGACTAAATGAATAAAGCGCTTAGCACGGTGCCCGCTACACAGTAAGTACTTAATAAATGTTTGTTATTATTCTTATACCTAACGTCAATTATTCTTAACATGCTTGATTGCTAAGTAAAAGGTTGAAGATTTGAGTCCTCCTTCCCAGAGGCGCCTCGGAAGAAAGGCCTGGTGATCTACTTCCAAAAAATCAGCCATTGAGAACCCTATGGAGCACAGTTCTACTCTGACACCCATGGAGTCACCATGAGTCAGAATCTACTCAACGGCAACTGATTGCTGGTTGTTCTTATTATTACTTATTATTGTTAGGCTTGTGAATAGGAGCAATTTGTGATTTGAGCATCTGCTGTGTGTGGGATGCTGGGAACACAGGAACACAGCAGGGATCAAGACCCAGTCCCCACCCTTAGGGGTCTCACAGTCCAGTGGGGGAGACACACATAACTGGGCAGTTTTAATACAGAATGTTCAGGGCTCTGATGGTGGACATACAGGTACTGACAAGACACACACGCTGGCCTGGGTATCCCACAAAGGCTTCCTGGAGGAGGTGCTGGAGTGAGAAGTGGGTGCCAAACCTGGAGAGCAGCCTGGGGGTCAGGGAGGGCTTCCTGGAGGAGAACCCTAGCTAGTCCACTGTTACCACAGGGGAAGAAGTTCGTGGGGGACCTGCAGCCAGATGGCAGGATCGTCTGGCAGGAGACAGGGCAGGTGTTCAACTCACCCAGCGCCTGGGCCACCCACTGCAAGAAGCTGGTGAACCCAGCCAAGAAGTCAGGCTGCGGCTGGGCCTCCGTCAAGTACAAGGGCCAGAAACTGGACAAGTACAAAGCTGCCTGGCTCCGGCGGCACCAGCTCCACGTGCCCGCAGCTGCCGCTGATGAGGTGCGTCCTTCAGCCTCCTGCCACAGTCAGCCCCTCCTGACTTACCTGGGGTGGACCAGAGAGAAGGGGCATTGGAGCTGGGGCTTTGATGTATGAGTACGAGTTTTGTCAGAGCAAGATGAAGGGAGGGGCTTTCCAGAGGGAGGGAATGGCATCTGCAAAGCCATGTAGGCACAAAACAACTCATGCTGCTTAGGGAATCATGATTAGCTGATGCAGTTGGAGGTGCAGGTGTTCCGGGGTTGCTGATGGGGCTGGAAATGCTGACAGGGACCAGATCCTGGAGGGCCTCGAATGCCAAGATAATGGCTTATATTCTTTGAGTACTCATGAACTGGGTAAACTTGGCTAAGGACCCTCTGTGTGCCTCAGTTTTCTTCATATGTGCAATGTACAGGATGACGTGATAACAGTGCCCATGTCATAGGGCTAGTCGTTCAGCAAGTATTTAGTAGGTGCTGACTGTGTGCCCGGCCCTGTTCTAGGCGCTGGAGACAGCCTGCCTGCCTGCCTGTTGCTGAGTTGATTCTGACTCATAGCAACCCCATGTGACAGAGTAGAACTGTTCCATAGGGTTTGCTTGGCTGTGATCTTTGCGGAAGCAGGTAGCCAGGCCTTTCTTCTGCACAGGGAGCAAAAAAGAGAAAAATGCCTGTTCTTGCAGAGAGAGAGAGACAAAGAAACACAATAGTCCTCTAGTATGTTAGAAGATGACAAAAAAAGCAAGGGTGGGGATGGGAGTTGGGGGAAAGCAAGGGGGTCAGGAAAGGCCTTGCTGAGATCAGCATGACATTTGAGCAGAGATGCGAAGAAGGGAAGGGAAGAAGCTGTGGGGATCTCTAGGAAACAGCCTGTGCAAAGGCCCTGGGGCAGGACATGCCCGGTGAGTTGGAGGAACAGGGAGGAGACCCGTGTGGCTGGAGCAGAGTGAGTGAAGGGGACAGAGGAGGAGGGGAGGGCAGGAGGCAACTAGGCAGGTCATGCAGGGTCCTGTGGGCCAAGGGGAGGACTTGGGCTTTTACCTAAGGGAGGTGGGAGCCCTGGAGGGCTGTGAGCAGAGGAGGGGCGGGCCTTGACTCAGCTGCTCATGGGCGCCCTCTGGCTGCTGCGGTGGGAACAGACGGCAAGGGAGGGAGCTGAGGGACCAGGGTGGAGGTGACTGTACTGGTCCAGGTGGGCGATGATGGGGTTGGACCAGGGTGAGGACCTTCAAATGGGTAAGAGGTGGGTAGATTCTGGGTATTTGGAGAGGTTATTGAGATAAATTAATAAAATAATCTATTTGAAGCCCCAAGCGTCTGCTAAATGCTTCGCACACATTATTTCATTTCACCCTGACGCGGTCCTCGTGCCTTTTACAGAGCCCAGAGAGGTTAGAGCGCTTGCCCGGGGTCACACAGCTTCTAAGAGGCGCAGACAGGATTCGAACCCGTGTAAGGGCTACTAAGGCGCTAAGGCCTGAGCTGAGCCTAAGATCGCCTCTGCTCACTTACTCCCTCTAGTGGGCATCTGGGGAAACTAAAGGAGCCTAGGGCCCACACCAGCTACAGTAACGTAGAGGGTATCAAACTAAGGGTCCCGCCCTCCGCTCTTCCCCCACCTTGCTAGAGCCCAGCCAGCGAAGGGGAGGAGGAGGAGCTGCTAATGGAAGAAGAGGAAGAGGAGATTCCCGTGGGGGTCTCAGCAGAAGACAAGAGCCGGAGACCACCAGGGAAAGACCCCTCGGAGCCTGCCCACCAGGGTGAGAGGTGTGGGGGAGGAGAGAAACAGGGAGGGAAGCGGGTGGGGAGGCGGCTGTGGACAGGTCAGGCTTTCATTTTCCTCAGCCCCTCTCCCCAAGATGCCCGGCTAATGTCCTAGCCCCACTGCCTAATTTCACTCTCACCGCCTGACTTCTTAAGCTCTAAAGCTGCATTTCTTGGTCCCGCTGCCTTATTTCTTTATGTGCTGCCTGACTTCTTTGTTCCCTGCCTGATTTTTTGGTGCCCTGCAGCATTTTTTTGCCCCGTTGCCTGATTTCTTAAAGTCTTTCCGATTTCCTAGTCCTGCCACCTGATCTCTTGGGCCCACTGCCTGCTTTTCTGAAGTCACCCTCTGACTTCCAGAGCTCCTCTCTCCGATTTCTCAGCCCACCGCCTGACTTCCCAGTCCTGCTGCCTGATTTTTAAGGCTGCTACTGAACTTTTTCCTTCTAATGCTGCCTTTTCTCCTCCCCCCCAAGAGGCCACGCCCCCAGGGAAGCACGTGGAAAACAAGGTCCGGGTACCTGTTCGCTATTGCATGCTGGGCAGTCGGGATTCTGCAAGGTCAGATACCCCCTATGCCTGCCCGCCTCGCCCTCCACCTGGAGCCCTTGTGGGGTGGAGTGAGGGAGAGGGATAGGGGTGGGGACAAGACCTCAGATCCTAGAGCTGGCCCTGTGGGGGACACCCTCCCCCTGGCCTCTACAGGAGCCCGCACACCCTGGTGGAAGTGACGTCCTTCGCAGCCATCAACAAGTTCCAGCCGTTCAACGTGACCATTTCCAGCAACGTGCTGTTACTGCTGGTGTGTGGCCTCCTGGCCTTCTCCCTTGGTGCCCAGTGGCAAGGGCTCCCGGGAGGCCTGTACAGGGGGCTGGGTGCCGGTGAGGGAGGAAGCCCCAAGAATTCAGCTGTCTGCCTCATTCACTACTGGGAAACAGTAGATGCTCGATAAACTCTTGAATGAAGGAGTGGGTATGGGCCCTGAGCCACTCTTCCAATGTACCCTCCCTTCATCAGGACTTCCACAGCCACCTGACTCGGAGTGAAGTCGTGGGCTACCTGGGGGGCCGCTGGGACATCAACAGCCAGAGTGGGTATTTGGGGCTGGGGGTAGGGGGGTTGTTGGGGTCAGAGTCGACGTCCATGCCGTACCCCTGCCTCTGACAGTGCTCACTGTGCTGAGAGCCTTCCCCTGTCGGAGCCGGCTTGGCGACGCAGACACGGCGGCCACCATTGAAGAGGAGGTGAGGTGCAGGAGGTGACGGAGGCAGAGGGACGGGGCAGGGCTGCCTGGGAGTGGCATTCTGGGGAGGGCTGGGGAGGGGAGCTGTCCTGGTTCCTGACACAGTGCCGGCACTCAGCAAGGGTGCAAATGGGTGTGTATGAGTTCCAGACCCCACACCTGGGACACCACGGTTCAAGCACAGCTTTTGGGGTCATCAGACATGGCCCGAGCCCTGGGTCTTTTATGTTCCCTGTGCAACCCCGGCCAGTCCCTCCGGGCGTCCATATCCTCCTCTGTAAAGTGGTTGTTCTTAGGTGCCTTCTAGTTGATTTTTGACTCATAGCGACCCCATGTGACAGAGTAGAACTGCTGGAGAGGATTTCCAAGGCTATAATCTTTATGGGAGCAGATCTCCGGGTCTTTCTCCTGTGGAGCCACTGGGTGGGTTTGAACTGCCGACCTTTCGGTTAGCAGCCGAGCACTTAACCGTTGCGCCACCAGGGCCCCTTTTTCATCTGTAAGATACAAGGCTGGAATGAATGGTCACGAATATAAAATGCTCTGTGGGTCCCTGCTGGCACCCAGTAAAAACTCAGTAAATGTTAGCTGCGTTACCCGTGCTGCCCGTGTCACCGAGCTTCACACCCATCTCCACATGAAAGCGTCACAGTGTCCCCAAGTGGGACAGGTTAGCGGTGGAGTCTCAGCTCAGGGCACATCTCTCTGTTTCTCTTTCTACATATATTTGCTGCTGTGACATCCGGGAATGTTTGTCCCAGCTCATGTGTCCACTGTTCTCTGTAACCATTGAGCACTTACTGTGCTAATCATTGAGCTGGGGATACAGCAGTGAACAAAACAGCCTTACCCTCACTTGGTGACAGCGTACGTCTTTCTTATAGACATATGTGTTGACTGTTCCGCCTCTGCCTCAGGGTTCTGTGAGGGCAGGGCACAGCAGAGTCTGTCTTGGTCACTGTTGTGTCCCCAGTCTGGCACATAGTAGGTACTCACTAAATGTTGGCCCCGAGCCACACTTGTATCCCCAGGTCTACCAGAGCCTATTTCTGCGGGGCCTGTCTCTGGTGGGCTGGTACCACAGTCACCCACACAGCCCAGCACTGCCCTCGCTGCAGGACATTGACGCGCAGATGGACTACCAGCTGCGCCTGCAGGGCTCCAGTAACGGCTTCCAGCCCTGCCTGGCCCTGCTCTGCTGTACGTCTCAGGGGCGGGTGGGCAGGGGGCTGCTGGGCCAGCCAAGCCCCAGGGCCCAGCCCCTCTCTCCCTCTCCTTCCCCAGCGCCTTACTACTCCGGCAACCCGGGCCCCGAGTCCAAGATCTTGCCCTTCTGGGTGATGCCGCCCCCTGAGGTAGGTGGGGCTGCTGGGGGCAGCCGGGCTGGGCAGTGGGGACAGGCCTGGGCTAGGAGGGCTCTCAGGGGACCGGCTCTGGCCTCAGTTTCTCCCATCTGTGGAGTGGGCCCCAATGCTGGCCCTGTCAGAGGCCTCAGCAAGGGTCTGGGTGTGAGGGGGAAAGCGTGGGGTCACAGGTGCGGCACCCACTGTGGGCACCCAGGTGGCACCCAGCTTCCTTCCCGAAGCTGCTCGGGGGGAGGGGAGGACACCGGCCCCCCTCGCTGCCTCCCATCACACCAACAGGTCCCCAAAGGTGGCTCTACACCCCTGAACCAGGGTGGGGCCGGGTGTGTGGTCTTGGTTCTCCGATTCCCAGTCCAGGGGCACTTTCTGCTGTCCCCTGCCACTCCGGAGGGGGTCTAGGGGTGGCAAGGACGCTCTGACGGCCCGTGTCCCTGCCAGCAACGGCCGGGTGACTACGGCATCCCCATGGACGTGGAGATGGTTTACGTGCAGGACAGCTTCCTGACTAATGACATCCTGCAGGAGATGGTGAGCCTCCCCACCTGCTTGAGGGGCACCCGGTGGAAGGTCAAGGCACAAAGTTGGGGGGGCAAGTCATGGGGAGGGGCTCAGGAAGCATTGGCTGAGGGCACCCTACCAGGGCCTGGGCTTCTCTTCTCCTCTTCCCTAATAGGAGAAAATCCCAGACCCTGCCCCCTGCCCCCACCCACCCTTTCCCAGCCCCACTGGCCCCCCCCTTGTTGTTCTGGAACATTCCAGGCACACCCCAGGCCCCTGCTCCATGCTCCCCCAGGCCTCTGCACCTGCCACTGGTACCCCATGTGGAGAAACCCTCTAAGACTTAAGGTGGTGTCTGGATGAACATTTTTAAATACTGTGTTCAACGTGCATTTAAAAAAATAGAACTAGTGATTTCACGGGAGCACTGGTGGCGCAACGGTTAAGCGCTCGGCTGCTAACTGAAAGGTTGTCAGTTAGAACCCACCAGTGGCTCGATGGGAGAAAGACCTGGCGATCTGCTCCGATAAAGATTGTTGTTATTAGGTGTCTTCGAGTGGGTTGGGACTGTTAGCAACCCTATGTACAACAGAACCCTATGTTCGGCACTGCCCGGTCCTGCGCCACCCTCACAATCGTTATGTTTGAGCCCATTGTTGCAGCCACTGTGTCAGTTCATCTCGTTGAGGGTCTTCCTCTTTTTTGCTAACCCTCCATTTTACCAACTGTGATGTCCTCCAGGGACTGGTCCCTCCTGATAACGTGTCCAGTGTATGTGAGACAAAGTCTCGCCATCCTCACTTCTAAGGAGCATTCTGGCTGTACTTCTTCCAAGACAGATTTGTTCGTTCTTCTGATAGTCCACGCTTAGAAAACCCTCTGGGGCAGTTGTATCTGTCCTATAGGGTTGCTATGAGTTGAAATCAATTCCACAGTATCCACCACCACCACCAACAATGCTTTCGTTGATATTATTGCTTAGGACAAGAATTCTTGCCTTCCATGCACGACTTCTGGGTTCGATTCCCGGCTAATACGTCTCATATGCAGCTACCACCTGTCTGTCAGTAGAGGCTTGTTGTTGCTAGGATGCTGAACAGGCTTCAGTGAAGCTTCCAGGCTAAGACAGACTAAGAAGAAAGGCCTGGCAACCTACATCTGAAAACCAATCAGTGAAAGCCCTGTGGATCACAATGGTCCAATCTGCAACTGATTATGGGGATGGCGCGAGACCAGGCAGTGTTTCGTTCCGCTATGCGTGAGGTTGCTGTGAGGCGGGGGCTCACTCGGTAGCAGCTAACAACACTCCTTAGGACAAGGCTAAGCCAGGAGTGATGTCAGGCCGGCGTGGACACAGAGACAAACTCAGTACGTGGAAGTCCAGGTGGGAGGAGAATGGCACATGCTTGGGACACCTCTGCCAGGAGCTTAGCCTCCTCTTCCAGGGAGTCTTCCTGGATTTAAGAACTAGGTGGGCCCTCCTGGTATGCTTTCCCGTTATTCCCCTTTGTGGCATTCAACACAGATGATGTAGTTTATTTTCTGTTCTGTTCACTGGCCTGGAACACTGGACAAGGGGGGAGAGAGGGAAGGTGGGAGAAAGGAAGGGAGGAAGTTCCATCCTCTGCCCCGCCCCATAGATGTTGCTGGTGGAGTTCTACAAGGGCGCCCCCGACCTCGTGAGGTTCCAGGAACCCTGGAGCCAGGAGCACACCTACCTGGACAAGCTGAAGGTGACAGTCCGCATCCTCCCACCCCCAGCCCTGAGCCCAGTGCCAACCCCTTCGAAGGGAAGAGTTTTTGGGGAGCCCCCAAGACTATACCCACGGGCAGTTTGAGATCAGTGACTTTAATTTTCTCCCTTGTTCTGGACGAAAGTAGTGCCGCCGGAAATTAGGCAGGAAAGGTCTTGTTTGATCACAGAGGTGAATTTTAAATCTGGAGCAGCAGCCCCGGGCCGTATGTAATACCGCGATCGCCCACAGGGGGGTGCGGGGCACGTCTTGACTTGGCGCTTCAAGCTCGGGCGACTTTAAGGGTTTCTCTGCGGGGGCCCCGCGCATGTGGTGGGACATTTAAATGTGGGCTAGGCGCCCACCCAGTGTATTTTCTGCTTGAAAGTCATTCTCAGAAGACACTCGACTTCACTTTGCATAGAGATACTTCCACACGCTTGATCGCTTTGCTCACTCGCACTGGTGGTGGCCTGCGCGTTACTATTGTTACTGGTCACCTCCCCCCCGAGGCGCTGGGCTGGTTTGGAAGCCCCGGGGTCGGGGCCGGTTCTGTTCACCGGCTGGGTGGCCCAAGCACACCGTTGATTCTGATCCAGGAGGGGGAACTCAGTCTGTGGAACCCGCACATAGGCCCCACCCCGCCGCCCTTCACCCTGACCCTCTTCCTAAAGGAAGTGTGGCTTCAGGCCCACCTCCTGAGCCCCCTCCCCGTTGCAGATCTCCCTGGCCAGCCGGACGCCCAAGGACCCGGGCCTGTGCCACGTACTGGATCAGGTTTACAGCGTCCTCAAGCAGGGCAGCTGAGGGCGGTGGCCTGGAGGGGCGCGGCTGGGAGGCCCCTGGTCCCCGGGCTTCGCCTGTGGCGGTCCCATTCCTGCATGACTCAGTTGTGCAGAGGGAGAGGCTCAGATAATAAAGACCGAGAGGAGCAGTTAGCCGCAAGTGTCTCATTTCGTGACAGGCAGCACGGGTGGGAGCCTGCGGAGGGGAAGGGGTCGGCGGGGGGCTTCCCCTAGACCTGGCAATGACCTCCTGAGCACATGCCCCACCCCTTTCTCCGTGCCCCTCCCCCTCCCACGTGGCGTGGCCTCTGCATCCGGGCACTGTGGGGGGCAGACGAAATTCCCCTTCCCTTTAGCTCCGAAGATCCAGCCGAGGACGAACCCCAGGGGAGGTGGACACAGCTTGCTGGAGGGAATAGCCTTGGAGTGGGGATGGTGCTGGGCTCGATCCCAGCGCTGCCTCCTGCTGGTGGCTGCAGGAAATGACCTCTGGGCCATAGAGTCCAGCTCGTGTGTGAGCCTGTGTGTGTGTGTGCGCATGTGTGAGACCATGTGTGCGCGCAAGTGGGAAGTCACGGAGTGGAGCAGGCATGGCAGGAGGCCACGTGGGTCACCTCCCCCCAGCAGGCACCAGGGGAATGTCCCCTGTGCTCGGGGCCCTAGGGCGGCCCCCGTGTCTGGCCATCCCCACAGCAAAACCAGGACACAGCAACCGAGCATACAAAGAGACATTTAATACTTCTTTTAAAAAATCAGGGTTACGGATCGATGTGCCCTAGACAATGATGCAGCCTCTGAGGCCAGCGACTCTTCTCCGCTGAGATGTCTGTGCCCAGTCATGGCTAGGGGGGCGCAGGGCAGGCTCCCAGTGGGCGGCCAGTGGGGAATGTAGGTGTGGCAAGGCCCGGAGCTCCTCCCCCACGCGGCTCATTTACGGTTAGGCCCGGGAGGCAGAGCAGGCACTGGCGCCCTGCTCTCCAAGGCTTTCCGACTCCCAAGAGCTGTCTCTGTCTGGAGGAGTCCAGGGTAGGGGCCAATGGCCAGTAGCCTGGGTCTGGGAACATTCACTCATCGAAGCCTTTGTGCTTGACCGTCATTCGGCCAGGGGCTGGGGCCCATGGTCCCGTGCTGGGGTGTCAGGGTGTGTGTATATAGCTGGTGGTGGCACCTGTGGCCTGAGACACCTCTCCTTGTGCTTGGTTGGGGCAGTAAGTTGAAAGGGCACGATCTGCAGGCAGGGTGCCCAGGGTGCAGGATACAGTGGGGGTGAGGTGGGGCAGACCCCCTGCAGGGGTGAAATAGAGGCTCCCAGAGATAGCAGCGTGAGAGTGCTGCAGGGGCTCACCCTCAGGAGGGCGGACGGCTGGCCCTGGGGCAGGCCGGGGATGCAGCCACAGCCAGCCCAGTGCCCCGGCGGAGCTGACAGTGGGCATGGGTGGGGAGGCCCTGGCTGGGGTGGCTGCAAAGGGCCCCCAGCTCCAGGGAGGAGGCTTCCGTGGAAAGCCTGGGACAGGGCCTCTGAATGAGCAGGGGCTGGGGGCCCTGGCCCTGGGGGCCCATCGCCAGCAACAGGCTGGGAAGGAAGGCTCCTAGGGTTTAAAACCAGGGGTGGCACTGTCATCCACCCTTCACACGGATCAATGCTGTCCCCTTAAGGTGAGGGGCTCCAGGCAGGGTGGGGCTCGGCCCAGGGGTGAGGGTGGAGGTGGGGGACCCGGGATGTTGGTAAGAGGGGTCCACCAGGGAGCCCCGGAGGGGGCCAGGAGGAACGTTAGTGTTTCAGAGAGCACCTTAGTGTCTGCCCCGTCTGGGGGGCCTGACTAGGCTGAGGGTGGAACCACGGAGCGGAAGGAGAAAGACTGCCCAGCCCCCACCAGCTGGGTGGAGTGGGAAGGGGCACCCACCACCAAGGTGGGAGCGTGTAAACGGCCATGCTCCCCCGCCCAGCAGGCTCTGCTCAGGCCCAGGCCTCGAAGGCCATGGGCAGTACCTTGGGCAACCCCGGGGGGACGGACCTGGGGAGGACAGGCCTGGGGAAGGAGCCCATAGGCTCTACCACCACCCTCGCTGTGGGGCGAGGGGGCACCCCGGCCAGGAGCCGGGTGGAATGAGGCAGCGGCCGGGTGGCCCGGTGGCCGGCCAGGCGGGCACCGAGGGCGGGTGGGGGCAGGTCACTGCGGCAGGGGCACCAGCACCTCCACATAGCTGAGTGGGAAGAAGCCTGACTGGCCGTTGAGCATGCCCTCGTACCAGTTCTCGTCGATCTGGTTGGTGAGCGTGATGACGTCGCCCTCACGGAAGCCCAGCTCGCCGTCGTTCTCGGGCTCAAAGTCGTACAGGGCCTTGCAGCTCGGCTGGTCCAGGGGCGCTGGACGGGGGAGTGGGGGGCGGCATCAGGGCTGGGTTTCCACGCCCACCCGGCCTCTGTCCTGGTCCTGCTGCTGGCTGACCCAGTTTCCCCCAAGGACCCCTGCTACCTCACTGCTTGTCAGGGCTGCTGGGAAGATGGGCCAGGGACCAACGGACGGGAGAAGGCTGTGTGGACTGTCACAGCTCTTATAGGGGAATGAGGGACAACCACAGCCCCCAACCATCACAGCCACTGCTCAGGGTGCGTGGAGCACTGGGCTGGGGGCACGGGCGCTGGAATGTGTGTGCCTGTAGCTCCCAGGCCCGCAGTGCTGGCCACCCTGTGCCCAGGGGTCAGCGGGTGGCAAGCACGTGTGCTGTCTGGCTGGTGTCGGCTCCTCCCCTGCTTGGGCGGGGCAGGAGGGAAGGGCCAGGGTGGCGGCCTGGCACGGGGTGTTCACCTTACGGGAGAATGGAGGAGGATACCGCAGGCCCTGGGGCACACTCACGCATATTCCTGCTGGGGGTCCGGACGGGCTTGTCAGAAGACCGGAAGGATGAAGACGCTGAAACCCAGAGGGAGGCGGCTGAGCATGTGGGCGTGGACCTGACGCCCAACGGGGCTTTTTTGTAGAGAGCCGTGGAGGGTGCCTGCTCCTGCCCCAGCTGGGGGCTGCACCTCAGGGTTCCCAAGTGTCGGCACTTGGCCACCCCCAGTGTCCCTTCCATCCCACGCTGGGAACAAAGAAATGACCTGCCCCCGTTACCTGTGATCTTGGGGGCTGTGGTGCAGGGAAAGCCCCCGTTGGACTGCTCCAACTCTCCGAGGTCATAGGTCTCCCGGGGCTTGGGCTTGTACTCCCGCTTGGGGCGCGACGAGGCCTCACGCATCCTGCACAGGAGGGGAGCCCAGAGCAGCCCCGGGCCGGGGGTCAAAGCCAGGCACAGAGCCCACCCCACACGGACGCAGGCGACACCACGTTAACCTACTCGTCTGTGTGACTGTGTGTGTCAAGAGCAGTGCACAGACACAAACCGGGTTGTGCCGCCACAGGGACAAGAACTGTCACCATCACCCAGGATTTCTTGAGCCCCCGTTTTCGTTCACGTACTTTGTAACAGAGAAGTCTTATATTGGTGCTACGTTAGAATCCATACACCTACCAGGAAGACCAGTTAATGTGACTATTATTCAAATTTACGTACTAACCGCTAAGGCCAAAGATGAAGAAACTGAAGATGTGAAACTGATCAAACACGCAATCAGGATGCACTGATAATTAATTACTGGGGATTGAAATGTGAAAGTTGGAAATAAAAAAGGATCGACAGTTGAAAAATATGGCCTTGGTGATAGAAACAATGCCGGAGATCACATGATAGGATTTTGTAAGACCAACAAGACCAACAACTTCTTCACCGCAAATACCTTTTTTCACCAACATAAATGGCGACTATACACATGGACCTCGCCAGATGGAATATACACGAAACAAATTGACTACAGCTGTGGAAAGAGACAATGGAAAAGCTCAATATCATCAGTCAGAACAAGGCCAGGGGCCAACTGCAGAACAGACCATCAACCGCTCACATGCAAGTTCAAGTTGAAACTGAAGAAAATTAGAACAAGTCCCCTCAGTATATCCCGCCTGAATTTGGAGACCATCTCAAAAACGGATTTGACAGGTTGAACACTAATGACTAAAGACCAGATGAGTTGTGAATGACATAAGAACATCATACATGAAAAAAGCAAGAAGTGTTTAAAAAGACAGGAAAGAAACAAAAGACCAAAATGAATGTCAGAAGAGACTCTGAAACTTGCTCTTGAAACGCTGAGTAGCTAAAGCAAAAGGAAGAAATGAAGTAAAACAGCTGAACAGACTCTAAAAGGCAGCTACAGAAGACAAAGCAAAGTATTATGACGACATGTGCAAAGACCTGGAGTTAGAAAACCAAATGGGAAGAACACGCTCTGCGTTTCTCAAGCTGAAAGAACTGAAGAAAAAATTCAAGCCTCGAGTTGCAACAGTGAAGGATTCAATGGGCAAAATACTGAACAACACAGCATCAAAAGAAAATGGGAAGAATACACAGAGTCACTGTACCAAAAAGAACTGGTCAACATTCATCCATTTCAGCAGGCAGCATATGATCAGGAACCAATGGTACTGAAGGAAGAGGTCCAAGCTGCACCACAGGCATTGGGGAAAAACAAGGCTCCAGGAATTGACGGAATACAATTGAGATGTTTCAGCAAATGGATGCAGCACTGGAAGTACTCACTCATCTATGCCAAGAAATGTGGAAGACAGTTACCTGGCCAACCGACTGGAAGAGATCCATATTTATGCCTATTCCCAAGAAAGGTGATCCAACCGAATGGGGAAATTATCCAACAATAGTATTAATATCACATGCCAAGTAAGATTTTGCTGAAGATCATTCAAAAGGGGCTGCAGCAGTACACCGACATGGAACTGCCAGAAAGTCAAGCCGGATTCAGAAGAAGACATGGAATCAGGGATATCATTGCTGATGTCAGATGGATCTTGGCTGAAAGCAGAGAATACCAGAAAGATGTTTACCTGTGTTTTATTGACTACGCGAAGGCATTTGACTATGTGGATCATAACAAATTATGGAGAACGTTGCAAAGAATGGAATTCCAGAACACTTAACTGTGCTCATGAGGAACACATACATGGATCAAGAGACAGTCGTCTGAACAGAACACAGGGACACTGCGTGGTTTAAAGTCAGGAAAGGTGTGTGTCAGGGTTGTATCTTTCACCATGCTTATTCAATCTGTATGCGGAGCAAATAATCCGAGAAGCTGGACTATATGAAGAACGGGGCATCAGGATTGGAGGAAGACTCATTAACAACCTGCAATATGCAGATGACACAACCTTGCTTGTTGAAAGTGAAGAGGACTTGAAGCACTTACTGATGAAGATCAAGGACTACAGCCTCCATTGTGGATTACACCTCAACATAAAGAAAACAAAAACCCTCACAACTGGACCAATAAGTAACATGATAAATGGAGAAAACATTGAAGTTGTCAAGGATTTCATTTTCCTTGGATCCACAATCAAAGCCCATGGAAGGAGCAGTTAAGAAATCAAACAACACGTTGCATATATACATGGGAAAGGCAGACAATGAATAAGGAGGAACTAAAAACAATTGACGCCTTTGTATTATGGTGTTGGCGAAGAATGTTGAATATACCACGGACTGTCAAAAGAATGAACAAATCTGTCTTGGAAGAAGTACGGCCAGAATGCTCCTTAGAAGCAAGGACGGCAAGACTTCATCTCACATACTTTGGACACGTTATCAGGAGGGACCAGTCCCTGGAGAAGGACAACCTGCTTGGCAAAGTAGAGAGTCAGCGAAAAAGAGGAAGACCCTCAACGAGATGGGTTGACACAGTGGCTGCAACAATGGGCTCAAACATAGCAATGACTGTGAGGATGGCGCAGGACCGGGCAGTGTTTCGTTCTATTGTACACAGGGCCGCTGAGTTGGAACCGACTTAATAGCACCTAACAACAACCAACAACAGAATAAAACTGTATTTTTTAGAGAATAGTTGCAGGCTTTGGGGCGGTGGGAATTTGGGGCGATGTGCACCATCCCCTGCAGCCAGCAGAGGTCGCCCAGTGGTGTCTGGCTGTGTCAAAGCCCACCCGCCCCCCAGGAATCTAGGAAGGAATGTGGTGGCCTCCTGCGGACTCCAGGCTGAGGGGTTCCGGCAGGGAAGGGACTGGGTCCGCAGTGGCAGTGGAAGGCAGGGGCCGGGCTCACCTCCGCTTGAGCTTCTCAGCCAGCTCCTCAAGGATCTGCACTGCCTGCCGGTGGTAGTCCAGCTGCGCGTCCACTAGCGCGGAGAGCTGGCTCACCTGCTCGATCTGCAGGACACAGACAGCGCTGCAGGGGTTCGGCAGCCGGTGACCCGCGCTCCCAGGCTGCCTCTGGCCCACAGGGCCCCGGCCCCGCCGGCTGTGCCAGGCTGCACCATGGGCAGGTCACGCTGCTTTTCGCCAGCCCTTGAGGGCCACCTCCAGTAGCCCAACTGCCTGCCTGTCTGAGCACCCGAGTAGGCACTAAGCCCTGGGCCAGGCACTGTGTGGGGGCGACCCTGTCACCCCTCAGCCTGTGCGGCACCCCCGTGCACATACGTCAGTCTCCAGGAGGTTGTGCATGCTGGTTTCGGCCACCTCCTTGGACTCCTCGAACTTCTCCATGGCCTGGCGCAGCTCCTCATCGGGGATCTTGCCCTGCCGCTTCTTCTTGTAGTCGAAGTCCAGGCGCCGGCCCTCCAGCTTCTTCAGGTGGTGCTGGGGCACAGGAGGGCGGGCCACGCGTCACACAGGGAGCTCCGTGCTGACAGCGCTAGCGCACGGCCCAGGACTGCCCCCCGCCAACGTCCCTGTGGCTTCTCCCGTGGGGAAACGTGCACCCAGGTTGGGGGTGTGTGTGCACACGTGAACATGTCTGAGTGTGTGTGTATGTGCGTATCAGCGTGACAGTGCATGAGTGTGCACGTGTTGTGCAAGTTCATGTGTGCACCGAGTGTGTTAAAGTGTGTGTGTGTGATAATGCGTGAATGTGCGTGAGGTGTACAAGTTCATGAGTGTGTGTGCAGATGTGAGTGGGAGAGTGCATGAGTGGTGAGTCTGAGTGTATGCTGAGTATGAGTGTGCATGTGAGGTGTGTGCATGAGTTGAGTGTGCATGAGTATATGTGCATGTGGTGTGTGAGTTCGTAAGTGTGCACGTGTGCATGCATGAGCATATGCACGCGTAGCGTGTGTACATATGCACGTGTGTAGCAAATGTGTGTACATATGCATGTGGCATGTCCATGTGTGAGCATATGCGCATGTAGTGTGTGTCCCTATGCACGTGGTGTGTGCGTGAGCATATATGCGCGTGTAGTGTGTGTACCTATGCACGTGGTGTGTGCGTGAGCATATGCGCCTGTAGCGAGTGTACACATGCACGTGGTGTGTGCGTGAGCATATATGCGCCTGTAGCGAGTGTACACGTACACGTGGTGTGTGCGTGAGCATATATGCACCTGTAGCGAGTGTACACATACACGTGGTGTGTGCGTGAGCATATATGCACATGTAGTGTGTGTACCTATGCACGTGGTGTGCGTGAGCATATATGCGCGTGTAGCGAGTGTACATATGCACGTGGTTGTGCATGTGTATGAGCATATACACGTGTGTACTGTGTGTGCACGGCTGTGCATATGCGTGTGGTGTGTGTGCACATATGTGGGCGCGCAGAGGGCAGCGCTGAGCCAGGGAGACTGGGGCGGGGCTGCCACATCTGAGCATGGGATGAGGACTGAACTGGGGTGGAGCAGGTCCAGGCAGGAGACACAGGCCCCCTCCCGGTTTAGCAGGGTCACCCTACTCAGCAGTGGGGACAGGGTCAGCAGGGGTCAGCACCTGGATCTCCTTCAGGTCCTTGTCGCACAGGTTCTGGAGGGGGTCGATGAAGTTCTGCTTGACCTCGATGTCCAGAGAGTCCTTGACCTCGGCCAGTCGCTTCATGGACTCCCCGGCGTCCAGCAGGGCATCACCTGGGGGCAGGGAGAGGCCTTCACACGGACCCCCTAGCTGACACACTCCCCAACTTCTAAACTGCCACCCACCCCAGAGCCAAGGGCTGGGGGGCTGGAATTCAGAGAAAACATGAAGCCCACTGCCGTCGAGTCGATTCTGACTCATACTGACCCTACAGGACACAGCACAACTGCCCCACAGGGTTTCCAAGGCTGTACTCTTTAGGGAAATCGATTGCCACGTCTTTCTTCAGCTGGTGGGTTTGAACCACCAACCTTCCAGTTAGCAACCAAGTGCTTAACCACTGTGCCAGCAGGGCTCCAGACAAAATGCCGGGCCCTAAAATATTCACCTCAGTCACAACGGCCAAGCCACCCCCTGCCCCCCCTTCTTAAAGGAGACACAGGCTCTGCCAGGGGTGGTGTGAGGGGCGGGCCCTGCAGCAGAGGGAAGGGGGCTCTCTCAGTCCCTCAATTCCCCCAGGCCCTGGGGGTTCTGGAACTCACCCCTCCTGTCCTCCTGCTTGCCTCCTCACTGCCCGCCCACCTCCACGTCACACATGGCTGCTGGACACAGGCTCAGCTGTCTGCTCAGCCCCACCCACAGGTGGGGACACTGTTTTACCCTGTGTGTCCTTCGCAAGGTCAGTCTCTGGCCCTGGGAGGCGCTGCTTAGGTGTTTGCTGAATCAGGGAACTACAGCAGCCATCGACTGAGCTCACCATGCCGGGCCCTGTGGGCACTGTTGCCCCGTCCCCCCACGGCCCTGGAGGTGATGGGAAGTTGCAATGCTGCAGTGGCTGGGGACACTCACCAAAGTTGGACTCGCCACCCAGCTCCTTGCCGTGGCGGGTCATGCACTCGCCCAGCAGGCCCTCCGACTGCGGGTACCCGGGGTTCTTCACCTGGCCCCGGATCTTGGACATGGTGTTAAGCATCGTCAGCTTGGCCCGCGAGGCTGGAACGGGGCGGGGCCAAGTGGGTCCGGCACGCTGGCTGCTCCCCTCTCCCTCCCACAGTGTTACCGTGAAAGTGTCCCCTCTCCAGAGGGGCCCCACCAGGGAAAGAGCAGACGGATGGGCAGCTCCCACGGGCCTCCTGTGAGATCCCCTCCCCCGTCCATCAGCCACAAAGAAGCCAGGCAACGGTGCCCAAGTGAGCTCCCCTCTCCGAGGCCTCCCGTCGAGGCTGCAGCCCCCTACCCCCATCAGAGAGCCCAAGTGTGGCCTAGAAGTCCCCTCCCCCATCTAGGGAGCAGTGCCCCAGACGGCAGGCGTGCTGGGGCACAGGGCACCCACCGCTATCTCAGCCTCGGGGCTGCCGGCTGCACTCCTTCCACAACCCTGGCAGAGGTCTCAAGGGACGCCTGCACCTGGGCCGCCTGGCCCCGCCCCACAGCACCCCCTGTGTTTGGCTCTTCCTCTGGGGAAAGGCCCCGGCCTCCTTGTCAGTCCAGTGACCCCAGCCCCAGGCCTGTGTAAACTGAGGATGGGCATCCAATTGAAACTGCCTCCGTGAGCGAGCTGGGGGAAAGACAGGACGCTGTAAGCCTAGAAACACGCAGCTGGAGAATGAAGCCGGCACAGAGGAGCCTGCGCTGCCAGATGATACAGGGAGGAAACGCATTCGCCAGAGGACACCAGCAGGACCCCTGGATCCAGCTGTGCCTGAATTCTGCCTAATCTGGGCATTTATGTTCTGGGAACCTATACGTTCCCTCTTCATGCTCCAGCAACCAGAAGATTCCTGAGGAACACAGACCCCTGCAGTTGGCTGGCATCCCTACCTGGGTTAGGCTGGAGGTACTCAATGGTTCTGGCCAGCACCTCCGTCACAGCCTTACTGGTGACATCCACTTTCTGTAAAGAGGAAGCGTGAGGGTTTCATAGCGTGGCACCCAAACCCAGACTACAGGCACCTGGACAGCCCTCACCTGGAGGGCACCCCCTTAAAGCCCTCATAAGGAGAACTACTGGCTGCTTCTGGAGGCTGGCCTAGTCTCCTTCCCTCCCTGCCAGGAAGGCCCTGCCCCAGTGGTGCCTGCCACAACCGGGGGAGAGGCCTTGTCCCCACCACGTCCACCTGATACGAGTCCCTCCCCTGACCCCAGGCCCCTTCGCTCCTGTCCCCGTGCCCAGGTGGGAGCTGGCCACCTCCTCCCTCCCCTTGGGCTGTGGGCTCTTGGCATGGCAGAAGGGAGATGCCCCCAGTCAGTGTCCCCCAACAGGGCTCAGCAACCAGTGACGTGCAATTTTCCCCATTACCTTTTCCATCTCTTTAAAGTCATCGTCAAGCTTCGTCCCCTCGGCCCCGCCGACCTTCTCACTGACCAGCTGTAGGGCAGAAGTGGGGGACAGTATAAGCCTCAGGGAAGATGGAGTAGGCAGCCCCACCCACCCAGGATGCCGTCCACCAGACACAGCAACACGGAGCAGGAGAACCTGGTGAGGGCCCAGCTCCAGACCTATACTCGGTACATCTCTGTGCAGGGCCAGAGAGGACGACAAGGGGCCGGGCCACAGGCCACCCTGTGCAGTCAGCCAGGCCAGCCGTTCACCCAGGAACCAGAAGTCACCTCAGAATGGGGTTCTGCCGCTCGCCTGTGTGCCGTGGTGCCCGCTCACAAGCCCACCACCCCATCAGGCTGGGTGCCCCCCAGGACAGGGCCTCATCCTGGTCACGGTGGCATCTGAACGCACAGGAAACACTCAGAAGTACCCGACGCCAAGGTCACCCCAGGATGGGCAGCACACAGACCCTGAGGCCCAGGGCCCCCCACGGCACTTTTCAGCAGCACGGACGTTAGACTCGGTCAGTCAGGGCCAGGGCTGGCGGGTGGAAGGCCGGCCGGAGCCACATGTAGGTGCTCCAACGGGCTCTGCGGTTCTGTGTGGATCACTGCACACGCTGTTGTGCTCGGCAGGGGGCACATGCCCCGCCAGACGAGAACCTGTCAGGGCTGGCCCCGCGTGGGACACGCACACTCTCAGCTCACACTGACCCTGGAGGCTCCGGCACAAACATCCCCATAGAAATCAACTGGGGACTTACCCCTGTTCTTCAAACTCTAGGATTGACTTTTGTAAAAAAGAAATAACATCTTTATTAGGAGGCACCGTGAGCTATTAATGGTGGCACAGGCTTTGGAGGGGCCCAAGCAGGGGCCAGACACTCGCCAGATACCTACTGGGATAGCGGGGGCTGCCAAGCCTTTCTCAGCTCTGGGGCCCCATTTGCAGGACAGGGATGCCTGCACCCCACCCCAGGGGCTGCTGGGATTTTTAAGAAGTTAGCGTGCACCTGACACCAAGAGCCCTCAGGAGCTGCCTGCTGATCAGAACGGCAGGAACCACCCACTCGTAACACGGCCCTTCCCCCTCACACGAGGTGGAGGTGTGCTGGGATGAGACCACCTGTAACTCGGCCCTTCCCTCTCACACGAGGTGGAGGTGTGCTGGGACAAGGGTGGCTGGGAGGGCAGAAAGAAGCACTGAGGTCACCACTGCCCCCTCCAACTGAGCTGCCGGAGTGTGAAAAAGTAGTGTCTGCAGAAAGCGCCCCAGAACGTGGCATCTGACATCACCAGTGTCCTCGTGGTCTGAGGTGGCTGAAGATGGCGGGTGGGGGAGGTGGGGCAGCACAGTGTGGCCCAGGGCTGTGCCAGGCAGTGGGCCCATCCGCACTCCTCAAGGCCCGTATGGGTCCACTCTGCGTCTCACCCCTCGGCATGCCTGAACAGCCAGCCCTCCGCCTCCCCACCCCCTGCCCTGATGGTGCCATCCCTGCCCACCCAGTTAGGACCCTCCTGGGGTTCCTGAGGTCTCCACATGAGCAGAGGCCAGCCTGCCTGGGTGGGACACGGCCCCACCACCTTCTCCCGGTGGGATCTCAGAGAAACAGCCACACCCAGCCTGTTTGTCCTTGGTGACATGGGGAGGATGACGGGCAACACCTCAGGGCTGCTGAGAGCGCTGGGTGGGCTCCAGCTGCCAGCACCCACGCCCACCTCCCACCTCCCATACATCTGACCGTGAGACTCTCCCCGTGTCTTGAGCCTCTGATGGGGACTGTACAACTCCACAGTGGGGCCTACCCCCCATCCTTATCCCCCATCCCTGTGGGTCCAGAGGAGGGCATGGCTGGGTGCCCTGTGGTCAGTGATTCTCCACTTGGCAGCACACCGGATCCTCATCTCGCACCCCGCCCCAGGAGAGGGCTCAGTGCAGGAGAGTGGCACCCCCTATGGGGGTGGGGAGGAAGGCAGCAAGGCTTGTGCAGGGCCCGCGGACAGTCCTCATGGGGGGCTGTGCTGCCCCGTCTGCTGAACGAGTCTCAAAGAAAGATCTGGTCTCTCCCCCAGGGTTTCTGGGGTGTTCCACTTTATTTCATGGGGTGGTTTCACTTCTTTGGATGGTGGTCAAACAGGCCATTCTGAAGTGCAGCAGCTGCCAGAGAGGGAAGTGAGGGGCCACGGTGAGCCGGGACTCTCCTGGTGAGTGGGGCAAGGGGCCACAGAGCGCAGAACCGCGCCTTCCTTCCTTCCTTCCGAGCAAGGGCACCCCGGGCAGCCCCCTACTGTCCCCGGCCCCCAGGCCTTCTTGTGTCTCACTGGAGGGAAGTGAAAAGATGAGCCCTGGGGCACGGACCCCGGCCTTCCTCTGGGGCCTTGATGCCAAACCCCATCTGTGGTCTCTCCTGGGCCCATTGCCCATTCTCACTCGGAGGACTCAGGACTTGCCTACTCGAGCCTCCACGCCCGCCTTTATGAGCCCACGTGAGGCTAGGATGTGCTGTCCTTCGCAACAGTTAAGTGCTCAGCTGCTAACCAAAAGGTCGACAGTGGGAACCCACTCAGCAGCTCCATGGGAGAAAGACCTGGCAATCTGTTCCTGTAAAGATTATAGCCTAGGAAACCCCATGGGGCAGTACTACTGTATCACACGGGGTTGCCATGAGTCAGAATTGACTGGCAGCACCCAACACCACCACCACCCGTCGGGCACCCACCCGTCTCCCTCTGCCCGTCTATGAGCACCTCCTGGTGGGGCTCACCACCCCCTGCCCCACAAGCCCAGAGCTCCGCTGGACAGATGAACCTTTCTGTGAGCTGGAGTCCCTCAGTGGGTGTGACTGGCCATCCCCACGTGGCAGGCACCGTGCTGGGTGAGACCGTGAAGGCCCTCTTGAGAGCCTGCTGCTGAGGGACCTCGACAAGTGAACCCACGGGAGAAAGTGGGAAACGTGGAGCCTAGATGCCGGCAGCCAAGTGATGGCAACGTGAAGAAGCTGTGAGCGGGTGCGCAGCCCTTGGGCCCTGACCCGTGTAGCCTCCGCACAGCCATGGTCAAGTGGAGAGGGGACACAAGGCACATTCTGGGGGCCTCTGGAGTGGTCCACGGGCAGACAACCAGGTTTCTCTACAGGCCAGTGCGGTCCCTGGAGAGGGGGCTGCCACAGGGGCCCGAGGAGCGAAGCAGCTCTGGTGCTCAGTGGTGGAGAAGACAAGGGCCTGGGACCACTTCTGGGCGAGTGGCCACAAGTCCAGCAGCTCAGCCTGGGCAGGGAGACGGCGCACGCATTTCAGGCCCAACAAGAGTGGCAGATGCAGCCGTGGGCCTAACGCCCCCGTGCGGAGCTTGCTCCCCAATTTACAAGGCCCGCCTCACACACTCCCCGGTGGCACTGTGACCTGATAGGATGCCATGGCTCACCTTGCACTGAAGGAAACTGAGGCACAGCACCTGGCCGAGGCCTCGCATCCAGAGAAGCTAGCCAGAAGTCTGCCTCTTCCTCTCTACACCCAGCGGCCTGGCCAAGCTGCAGCCAGGGGCCCCTTCTGGGGCAGGGGTGCAGAGGGACCGCCCACCACGGCCGCTCAGTCTCTGCAGCCCTTCACCCGCACCTTGCCCTGCCCTCCCATGGGACCAGCACTGTCAGTGCTGCTGGAAAACCACCATCCCCTCACCCAGCCGAGCCTGAGTCAGGGCACCCGCTGCAGGGCCTCAGTCACCAGCAGTGGGCCGCACAAAGGCTGCGTTGTGACACCCACATGGGTGTGAAGCCAGCACCTCCTCTGCCCTGGAACAAACATGGGCCCAGCCCTGAGAGGGAACATTCCAGGAGACTGCCCCAGATTCAGGTGCCAGGCAGTGCCATCCGGAACCTTCTGCAGAAGGACTTGCCGTGTTACCTCAAAGGGCACAGGGGACTGAGGTGGGCCGCCCCTGCTGGTGAGAACCGGAACCGGGAGGGCCTGGTTACGGCCCCACTCGGGCTGACCTGGCAGGGCCTCTGTCTGGTGGAAGCTCACCTGGCACCACACCTCGCCTCTCACCCAGCAGGCACCCCACTCTACATTATTCCTAGGAGGGTCAAAACAACAGAAGCGTATTCTATCTCTCACAGTTCTGGAGGCTGGAGGCCAAGACTGAGGTGGCGCGATCTCCCTCTGTTACGCTCTGACAGCGCTGGGGAGGATCCTCCCTCACCTCTTCCAGCTTCTGGTGGCTCCTGGTGATCCTGGGTCTTCCCTGCTTGTGGCCGCATCACTGCAGTCTCTGCCACCATGTTCACATGGTCATCTTCCCCGTGGGTCTGTGTCTCTTCTCTTACAAAGACACCAGTCCCTGCACTAGGGCCCGCCCTACTCCACTAGGAGGCCCCGGGCGGTGCAAACAGTGGACGCGCTCAGCTGTTAACCAAAAGGTTGGAAGTTTGAGCCCACCTAACGGCACCTTGGAAGAAAGGCCTGGCAATCTACTTCCAAAAAACCAGCCACTGAAAACCCTATGGAGCACCGTTCTACTCTGATACACGTGGGGTCGCCGTGAGTCAAAATGGACTCGACAACAATTGGTTCTAGCGACCTCATCTTAACTTGACGCCATCTGCAGGGACCCTATTTCCAGACAAGGTCACGTTGACAGGTGCTGGGGTTGGGAGTCAGTGTATCTGTGGGGGATACAGCTCAGCCCACGGCGGAGCAGCAGCTGCAGCTCTGAGCTCTCCTCAGTCTGCAACTCAGCCTGTGAGCTGCTCACTGCACTGGGGAGTTTGTGCGAGGGCCCAGGAGGAAGGCTCGAATCCTCTAACTCCCCCTCTTGCCCCAACTCAGGCAGCTCTCCCATGTCTGGCCTGGCCTACGTGTCCCAATCACAATGACTTGCCCGCAAATGACCACAAAGCCATGATTCTCTGACCATGTCCAGGTAAACTTAGCCCCCGTGGAGTGGGAGACCCTGAGATGTAGGTGGGGTTTAACCCCAGAGCCCGGAACTTCCTCCCATATGCGTGTGCACCTGTGTGCATT